TATCCTCACATGCGACCTTCTTTTGCTGCTAATGTAGCTCAATCGGATACTGCTTCAAATGGTTCAGTCTCTCTCTCCTCTGAAGAATATGCAGCATTCCAGGCCCTTCTCAGGAAGTCCTCTCCTCAATCTCAGGTCTCTGCTTCAGAAACTGGTAATCCTGTTGCTTGTGTTTCTCATTCTGCATCACTTGGTCCTTGGATATTTGACTCAGGTGCTACTGATCACCTCTGTGGTAATAAGGAACTCTTTTCTTCCCTTACATATTCTAATAATTTACCCTCTTTTACTCTTGCTGATGGAACTAAGGCCCCCGTTCATGAGATTGGACAAATCTGTCCAACCTCCTCATTGACCTTGACATCTGTCTATTACATTCCTCACATCCCTTATAATTTAATATCGGTTAGTAAATTAATCAATTCTCTTAATTGTATTGTCACATTCTCAAACCATTTTGTTTCTGTGCAGGACCCGGGTACAGGGAAGATGATTGGAGTGGGCCGTGAGTCATGGGGTCTGTTCTACCTTGATGTGCCGAGTCCTTCAGTTGCTTGTTCTCTCACAGAATCTCCACAGCTCATCCACAGTCGTCTCGGACATCCTAGTCTTGCGAAATTGCAGAAGATGGTTCCTCTTTTATCCGGTCTTCAAACTTTAGATTGTCAGTCATGTCAGCAAGGAAAGCACATAAGCTCCTCCTTTGCTAATCGAGTCAATAAACGAGCTGATGCTCCTTTTTCAATTATTCATTCAGATGTTTGGGGTCCTAGTCGTAGTGTGTCTATTTTAGGTTTTCGGTATTTTGTCACCTTTATTGATGATTTCTCCCGTTGTACTTGGATTTATTTAATGAAAAACCGTTCTGAGTTGTTTTCTATTTATCAAAAGTTTTCTGCTGAAATTCATACTCAATTTGGTGCTTCTATTCGTATTTTACGTAGTGATAATGCTAAGGAGTATGTTTCTGTTGACTTTTCTCACTTCTTAGCCACACAGGGTACTTTACACCAAACCATTTGTCCTCACACTCCACAACAAAATGGAGTAGCTGAACGTAAGAATAGACATCTCATTGAGATTGCCAGGACTCTTCTTATTCACATGCATGTTCCTCTTCACTTCTGGGCTGATGCAGTCCTTGCTTCTTGCTTTCTCATCAACCGCATGCCTTCATCTGTGCTTAATAATGATATTCCTCATAACTTATTGTTTCCAGATGTTCCTCTCTTTCCTCTATCCCCACATGTTTTTGGTTGTACCTGTTTTGTTCATGATCTCACTCCTGGTAAGGATAAGTTAACATCCAAAGCCTTTAAATGCATTTTTCTTGGTTATTCTCGTCTTCAAAAGGGTTATCGTTGTTACTCTCCTGACCTCAAGCGTTACTTAGTTTTCGCGGATGTCACCTTTTTTGATCAACAACCCTTTAATTCTATCCCATCTCCATTGTCACAGGTTGATCATGTTCTTCCTGTTCCTTTTCTTGACTTGTCTTTGCCAGATGCAGGTGCTTCTACTCCAGATAAGCAATCACCTATTGCTCCAGTACCTAAGGACCGTCCACTTCTCACTTATCAGCGTCGTAAGACAGTACCTCCAGTCGACTCGACCCCTGCTGACTCATTGCCCTCTGCAGTTGATTCTTCCCCTCCGGATCCTTCACCAGAGGCTCTTCCCATTGCTCAAAGAAAAGGTACACGTACTACTCGTAACCCTTATCCTCTTTATACCTTCTTGAGCTATGATCGCCTTTCTCCTCCTCATTTCACCTTTGTTTCTAGTCTTTCTTCTGTTTCTATTCCTAAGACCACAGGTGAAGCACTTTCCCATCCAGGATGGCGCCAAGCGATGCTTGATGAGATGACCGCACTTCATACCAATGGCACTTGGGACCATGTTTCTGCTCCTCCAGAGAAGTCTATAGTTGGTTGTCGCTAGGTGTTTACTGTGAAAGTTGGACCTGATGGCCATGTTGATCGTCTCAAGGCACGCCTAGTTGCCAAGGGTTTTACTCAAATCTTTGGCCTTGATTATAGCGATACATTCTCTCCAGTCGCTAAGATGGCGTCCGTCCGCCTATTTCTTGCCCTTGCTGCTGTTCGTCACTGGCCACTCCTTCAACTTGACATCAAAAAAGCCTTTCTTCATGGTGATTTACAAGAAGAAGTTTACATGGAGCAACCACCTGGTTTTGTTGCTCAGGGGGAGTCTGGGAAGGTATGTCGTCTTCGAAAATCCTTATATGGTCTCAAGCAGTCTCCTCGAGCATGGTTCAGTCGCTTCAGTTCTGCTGTACAGGCGTTTGGCCTAATTCGCAGTAAAGTTGACCATTCTGTATTCTATAGGATTACATCTCCTAACAAGTGCATCTATTTGTTAGTCTATGTTGATGACATCATCCTCACCGGAAGTGATCAAGACGGAATCCATCAGTTAAAACAACATTTATTCAGTGCATTTCAAACAAAGGACCTTGGGAAGCTGCGTTACTTCTTGGGAATTGAGGTGGCGCAATCTAGACAGGGCATTTCTATCTGTCAAAGGAAGTATGCCTTGGATATCCTAGAGGAGACTGGTATGTTGGGGTGTAAACCAGTTGATACACCCATGGATCCTAATGTTAAGTTATTGCCCAGACAGGGGGAGCCGTTATCTGATCCTGGACGTTATCGAAGGCTGATTGGGAAGCTCAATTATCTTACTGTGACTAGGCCAGATATTTCTTTCGTTGTCAGTACGGCCAGTCAGTTCCTTGATTCCCCTTGTGATTCACATTGGGATGCTGCTGTGAGGATCCTCCGATACATCAAAGGAGCACCAGGAAAAGGTTTGTTGTATTCGGATCAGGGAAATACAGAAATTTGTGGTTACTCAGATGTCGATTGGGCAGGATCACCCTCGGACAGACGCTCTACTTCTGGTTATTGTGTCTTCTTCGGAGGAAACTTAATCTCATGGAAAAGCAAGAAACAACCTGTTGTTTCCTGATCTAGTGCAGAAGCTGAGTATCGTGCAATGGCAAATACTACCTGTGAGTTGATCTGGTTAAAGCAGTTGATTCAGGAGCTTCATCTTTGTGAACAGAAACAACCCATGACACTCATCTGTGATAATCAAGCTGCGCTACATATATCCTCTAATCCTGTTTTTCATGAGAGGACCAAACATATAGAGATTGATTGTCACTTCATTCGGGAAAAGATTCAGTCAGGAGAAATCAAGACAGCTTTTGTCAACTCGTCTAATCAACTAGCAGATGTTTTCACTAAAGCTCTTAGAGGTCCTCGGGTTGAATACATTTGTAACAAGCTTGGTGCTCATAATATATACGCACCAGCTTGAGGGGGAGTGTTAGAATATTAGATATGATATGATTAGATTTGATTAGATATGATTGGATTCTGTCTTATCCGTAAATAGTCTGACTGTATTCTGACTGTATTAGGATTAGGTTTGGATTAGGTTTGGGCCTTACACTTAAGCCCATTAGGGTCTCTATATATTGTAACTCCCTGACACAGATCAATACACAACGTATTCTTTTACATTTAACTGTCTCTAACATTCTCTTCACTAGCCATCATTGTGTCTCCTTCCACCGATGTTTTGTAATACCTCATCAAGACATCTAACGATTTCCATCTGGCACTTTTCAATGCGTCCCCCTCTCTCTTAACAATTCCTCAAAACCAACTTCCATATTGCGTGTAATCACCATCCAGAGAGCTCCCAGATCAAAGCTCTAATACCAGTTGATACAAAAGACACTCAAAGAAAAGAAAATAAAACAGGTTCTTTAATTTAATTAAGTTGAACCTAAATTAGATTCAGCCAAACTAGTACAAAAAATGTGGAATTACAAAAGAAATTACACTTGATTAGGAGAAAGTGTGAATAACCAATTCAACCCAAAAACTTAACTTGTTAAGTGAAGGCCCATCAATGGTTTATATACTTATCTAACACGCCCCCTCACACGAGAGTCCACTGGGCACGAAGGGTGGATAATACACAAGCCCACATAACTGCGCTAGAAATTCCATAAGAGAAAGTGGGGGCGTTGAGAATCGAACCCGTGACACTGAGGCTCTGATACCATGTAAAGAACCAATTCAACGCAAAAACTTAAGTTGTTGGGTGAAACTACATTAATGGTTTTATATATCTTTAACACGCCCCCTCACACAAGAGCCCATTGGGTTTGAAGGGCGGATAATGCATAGGCTCACCTACCTGTGCTAAGAAACTCCACAATACTGAATTAATTATTAATTAAATTGGGGGGGCGGTGAGGATCAGATCCAAGACACAAGACCTGATACCATATAAAGAACCAATTCAACCCAAAAGCTTAAGTTGTTAAGTGAAGACTCATCAATGGTTTATATACTTATCTAACTAAAAGAAAAGGAAAAATTATTTGAGAATTCAAGAGAAGGTCACGACGAGACAAGCCGTTTCTCATTAACGATAGGTGTCAAGTGGAAGTATAGTAATGTATGCAGTTGAGGCATCCTAACAGACCGGTAAGAGAAAAGATTGAGACAAAAACAAGGTCGAAGCAAATTGAGAGGCCCTAATTCTCTCCCAGGTCCAGGTTCCAAAAATGATCCAATATGTCTCAACATAAAGTCCCTCTGAGTATTAGTAGCCACGTGTGTCCTAACTTACTTCTAATTAACTCCTGCTAGGTCAATAATTACAAGTGGAGCTGACCCCCTATGTCTCTTCCTTTCATACACCTTACCAAAACTCACACTTGCCTTTACCGTAATAGTATATCACAAACAATTCCTTATAAAATGGTCTAATTTCTGGCAACTACACAATTTTTACCACTGGTTATCATAAAATAATGTGAAAATATTGAAAGGGGAACCATTCAAGACCTAAGGCTAAGCAACATGCTACCACCCCATAGAAAGTTATTAGTTGATCACCAAGCACATAAGTGATAACAAAGCAACACATAAAAATTATTAATTTATAAGACTTACCACTTCTTTAGAGTTATCATTAACGTCAGGAACCTGGAGACATATGCCAGTAAGTGTCAATGACAAAGGTAAATAGATCAGCCTTTTACTTAAGTTAGCATACTTTTTATGGCTGCTTCAGCATACTATGGAATCTGCAACATGCTTTTAAACAACAAAGATTAAGATACTGACTTACAGCTCCAAACATATTAATAGCTGATCTTCTCAGTTGCATCTGCTTGATCATTCTACTTGGATCCCTCATATAAGCAGCAACTTGATTACTAATATCCTGTTACGGGACAACAAATTAGGAGTAAAAGAACCTGCCTACCACATAGTAGGAATCCCAGTCCGTTTAAAGAACCTAACCTGATTAAAAGCATGCAATTTGCCTTTAATGGCAGCAGCACCGGTTGTCACTTGTGTCATCCTCTGCCATTTGTTGATTGACTTGTCTCTGAAAGATGCTACACTACAAGATACAATCATGAATAGCATCAGCCATGCATAAAGATGAGGAGCAGAATATGTTTAAGATAGAAATGCATATAAGTTACAAAAAATGCATGATATGAGAAGATTCAAGAATAATTGATGCAGAGAAGGGGCTCATGAAACAAAAGCTAGAAATCTCAACGCTGCAGCACCTGGAGAAAATGAATGACTAGCAGAGTGACAGTGCAATGAGAAGATGATAAAAAATTACCTCTTGTGCATCTGAGAAATCTGTGACCACTCTTGATCAAGATTGCCTTCCAAATGCTTAGAAGCTTCTAAATCTTTTGATGACCTTTCTGAACCTTTAACAGGGTTTTGGGGGGGGAGGGAAGAGGAAAAAGAAAAAGAAAAAATTATAATAAAATAGAATAAAAATATATAAGAGAAAAAAAATATAAAAACAAATAAGAAGGAAAAAGTGAATTAGAGAGGAAATAAATAAATTATCTTACATAAAATCAATGTGTAGTATAAAATTAATTATCTTGTATACTTAATCTTCAGTATAGTGACCATCCCTCTATAGCATTTTTGAGCCTGTTGTTCACACCACTATCTGTAGTTCAGGCAGTAAACTATAGGCCTACATAAAGAACACTATGCCAGTTCTCCACTCCCCAACAATGTAATTAAATTTCCAATAATTTTGCAAAACTACAGCAACTAAAGGGCAAACCCCGTTGCAAGAGTAGAGATGAAGGTCAATTGTACGCAACCTTACCCTAACAATATACATACATTCTCAAGTGTACCTGCATAAATTATACTAGAATAGGTACCATATGTCGGCATAAAGATAAAACTTAATTTTATTTGATTGATAATTTTTTATTGTTAAATTTAAAAACTATTAACACACACAAAAAAAAAAAGGAACTGAATGAAACTGACTTAAAATTGCAATATAATTAAAAACAATTACATAAAGTTCTTAAAACTAGAAAAGAGTAAGTGGTAGACTCTTCTTGTTATGCTTGACATTTCTCTATCTCTTTTCTTAATAAAACAAAATATTTGGGCTAAAAATGGAAAAATAGTACACCAAATGGAGGAATCTGCTTCCTATAAATGTAATGAAGCACGTAGTATAGATTAACCAGATAGTCTGTTAGGAATCTCCAAACAGAGTGAGTTTTCAGAGAGAAAGAACTGAGAAACAAAGAAAAGAGAAAGAATCCTTCTGTATTGATTTACCAAATCACAAAGAACAAAGGAAAGAAATGTCCTCCAAGATTTTTCCCTTACAACTGAGCTACTGCTCTGTTTTTCCAAACCAGCAAATCTGAATCTCCTTCTTCGACCCTCTCCTGTTATTTAAACTAATTATCTAGTTCTAACAACTTTAACCACCCAAGTTGATATGATCCCAGCTTTAAGGGTGCATGTGAGGGAACATTATAGGGGAATAATCATTCTGCTGACTCAGCTAATCAGATGCAACCAAATGTAACTAACTCTAACAGAATGGGTGGCATGGGAGGTGAGGTAAGGGTGGTTAAATAGGGAAGGTGTGAGGCTAGATGGAGCTTCGGAAATCTTTGGCCTGGGATTGGAATTTGGGAGAGACCAGTAGCCTCTCCAATTGCTATGGGTTAATCTTTTCTTTTCAGTTCTTTAATTTTCTCTTCTGTTCTTTTATTTTCCAGCAATCTGTAGTTTCTTATAATGGCTATTTAGCCTCAATGGATATTGTAACTCCACTGGATTCTCGTTGAACCAGTGCTTAGAAATATCAATTTCACTGTTATTTCCTACTTTCCCTTAATTCCTTGTTGATTCCTATCACAAGCATAGTTATCATATTCAGATACCTCTTCCACCCATACATTTCTTCCCTAACAAAAACTTTTATGATTTTCAACTTCTGGCAGAATCATGTCCTACTCCTAACTTTTCCTTCTCAGTTCTTGCAACCATTTTCAGCTAGATGTCTATTCCATGCTTGATAGATGTTTTAGCACCTTACTTCAATAACCAAGCTGGTTAAAGAATATGATAGGCCTATAACCAACAAAAAACTTGGTGACAACTCATGAAAGTCTTCCAAATGGATAAGTTGCTATATGCTTCAACTACATAATACTAAAATAGAAGCGAAGCATAGTCCATATAACAGATACATCTAAAAAGGGGAAAACAAGATAAATCCCTTGAACAAAATCCATATTCCTGAATCAACTATGGTGCTAGTATTGCTATTTCTTACAGGGAATGCTCTATTATATGTAACCCCCAATAGTAACTCCAAAGATATGTCACAAGCATCAAAGTAAACAAGGTGTGGACAGAGCAGAAAATGAAACAAGACAGAGAAATCATAGAAGAAACTAGAAAGGGGGATAAGAAAAATAAAGAAATAAGTTACCATTTGTGGATTGGGTAATCAACGGATTATTTGCAAACAGAGCCTGGAACAGGGAAAGAAATCAGTGACTAATGAAATTGCAGGAGGTCAAACATAATATTGTAAATATAACAATGTAACAACTTTATAGTTTTCATATGACAAGACATAGAGAAATATAGAATTGAAACAGCATACAACAACAAACAAGCCTTGTCCACCAAAACATAGTTATGAAACAAACATGAAAATAATTTTCATTCTTTTCTTTTTGATTTAAATTTCCAGGCAAAAATCGCACCTCTTGTAGTTCCAATATAGAATCTAAAGTTTCCTTGGAAGAAGACATCAGATCTGAATATGATTCTCTAACTGTCTCATCTAATTCACAGAATGAAGACCTGATTGGTTCCTGCAGACAATTACCATGCTTGGGTATGACATTAAGATATGACAAAGTAGCAAATCACATTAAATCCAAATGAGTAGAAAAAGACCTGGGGTAACCTATTTGAACTTGAGAATGGCTTCTGAATTAAGAACCTAAGCTCAAGAATTTTGTACCAGAGGGCCTTCAGGTGAAAAGAAATTCAGTTATGTTATTACGAATTCAAAAAAGATGTCAATAGATGATACAGAAGTAAATGTGACAACTACAAATGACAACATCAATATTCGAATTAAGAACTAATAAACATTTTTCACTTACTATAATAAGAAGAAAATGGGGAAACAGAAGATTAAATAAATGGAAAAAAAGCCTAAACCTCAATGAAACATAAAGCATTGGTCAGGACACAAGTCAAATAATAACACCACACCTTCTGGCTTTTTACAGCTTGACCTTTAAGGAGATCTTCATCTTTATGATGCTTCAAGTTCTTCAAAGTATCTCTGAAGGTAGGAAGTTAAATTTGTCATGTTTCACAATCGACAGTTCGACACAATCTTATAGATTACGAAAGGGAAATAATATAATTGGTTCACCATATCTCAGGTCCTTCATAGAAAAAACTAACTATAACATTTAGCAGGATGACTCATATGAACCATCAGGTTGATAGCTGACTAGAATTCTCACATTAATATATAGCTTAGCAACCAAGCAGCATAATATTCCACATTAATGTATCTGGAAAAGCAATATCTTGCAGATATTTTTGCAATGCACATTATGAAAAGACGTGACAACTCTTAGTCTTAAAAGGCAGTGCTACTGGAAAAGAGCACAAGTTAATAATAATAAAAAAAAAAAACCACTCCCCGTTAAACCCGACTAGCGAGTGTGGAGTGGAGAAAATCCTTGTACGCAGCCTTACCCTTGCATAATTGCAAAGAGACCGTTTCCTGGATTCGAACCCATGACCTTTCAGTCATGAAAGAACAGTTTTACCACTGCTCCGGTTCGCCCTCTTTCACAAGTTAATAACAGTAATAAAAATAATAATAATAATAAGAACAATCCTAATCAGCTGATCGTGACTGATTAGGTACATAATGGTTATTCCAAGAGATGATTCATTAGGTTACATTGGACTACCAGCAAATAAACAGATTAATATATATAGTGAAAACACATCTAAAATGTTAATCTGAGCCAACCTTCATTTACATTTTAAAGATATACACAGCAATCAATCTGACTGTTGTCTCTGTATTATGTTTGATACAACAAGATATAATTTATGCAAAATTAAATATTACACGCTTAACACAAACAGAACCAGTATAACAAGTACATTAAACCAAAAATAAAGACTTCACTGAAATATGTCCAAGATAAATGTATATCAAATGTTAAATGGAATCTTACAACTCCTGGTGATAAAGATCCCTATACTCTTTCTCAAGCTGTTCCATCTCATCATTTTCTACTGCCCTATTTTCTTCCCCATCTGTTCCCTCCTCTCCATGTTCTTCTTCTTCTTCTTCCTCCTCCTCCTCCTCCTCCTCCTCACCGTCTTCATCAACATAATCATCCTCCACCTACATCAGTAAAATAATCCTTAATCACAGTTCACAAAGAAATCACTAAGGTTATCCATCATAATAAAACTTTGCATCAACACTTACCTCCTCGTACTCCATATCATTGTATTCATCCGAATCACTGTCACTGTTTCGCATTTTTTTAGATTTCTTCGCAGATAATCCCATTTTCATCCTAAATTTAAATTTGAAAAAAAAAATATCATGTTGCCTATCTATCAAAAACATTAGTAATTAATTAACCACTATGGTACAGTCAACGAAGAAGACAAAGGTGAATTGTCCATGTGAACCCTCACAAGAAGGGGAAAAGTTGAAACTGGTGGTGGAGTGGACAACGACGCGAACTAGGTGCTGGTGGAGGCGGTTGCAGTCTTGGCGGTGGCCGTATCGCGGCGGCGGCGGCCTCTTAGCTTAAAGCCTGGTGCGACTCTGAGTACAAAGGAGTGAAATCCAAACTCACATTTAATTGCTTTATTATAATAAAATATTTAAGGGTGTTTACCAAAAAGAAAATAAAAAATATTTAAGGGTTTATCTTTATTCGGTCACAAGAGATATCTAACTAAAACTAAGTAAGGAAATTAACAAAAGTTAATTTGTAAAATTTATATAACAAAAAAATAAAAAAATATTCTTCGTTAATTCTCTCAATTTTTAAAATAATGTAATTTTGTGGAGGTATAAATGGGATATGCGATTTAATTGGACCTACGACCCAGCTTATATTAGAGCAGGCTCAGCCTATTAAATATAGTCAAATAAAATAAACTCATACTTTTAAAAAAACATATTTAAAACATAAGTTATAAGTTTTTTTTTTTTACATATAGGGCTTATAAGCCTACAGGTTGCCTGTATCGTATTATTTATTTTAAATAAATAAATAAATTATTATTTTAATAATTTTGAATAATAAAAAATATTATTTTAAGATGACGGTTATATTTACAAACTCTTATAAATAAATTTTAACGTTGATTTTCGTCAATCTAACTATTATGATTCATTGGATCACACTTATTAATTAATTATTAATTTCCAATAAATTATAACTGTTAAATTAATGAAAATCAAAGGTTAAGATTTGATTGTAAAAGTTTATTAACTATTTATTTTGTAAATATAACATTCCACTTATTTTAATTATTGAATGTCTATTAGGCTTAAATAGAGTAACAAGCCTAAGACAAGGCTTTTGCTTTTTTAAATATAAATCAGGTCATACTTATTATTTGGGCTTACATAAGCTAATAGATCAGGTCAGGCTTAAAGTATTTTACATAAGCTTAGCCTATTTAAGTCAATGCCCAATCCAGCCCATTTTGGTAGATGTGTAAATAGGCCAAGTGACTTGTCAGTGGCCTATAGCTTCGTTTGTTTTTAGCTGGTTTAGAAATAGTACATGTTTGAGCTCATTATGAGACTTATTTAAAAATGAAGCTACAAGCCTATTTAAGCATGTCTGGACTCTAAACCAACATGCCCAACTCGTATTTTTTAATATATAATATTTGATTTTTTTAATAAAATAATATCTCATTATTTTTTAATAAAATAGTATCTTGTTATTTTTTAATAAAATAATATCTTATGATTGTTTAATTTATTTATTTTTTCATTCTTTCTCTTCTCATTTGACAAACACATTTTTTCTTAACCTTAAATTCCTTTATTGTCACTGAACTTCTCACTTATAAGTGCTGCATGCATTTATATATCTTGTTCTTGTTTGTTGGGTACGTGGTTATGTTTGTCTTTTATTTTATTTTATTTTATCTTTATTTATATAATTATCTTTTATTGAAAATTCTCATATAAGTGTTAGGAATGTGGCTTTCATACTCAAGAGGGGGGTGAATTGAGTATTACAAGATTTTCGCAAAAGCCCCCTTCTAGTTTCTAAATAATCATTTCAAGCAAACTTTGATATATGAAAAGCTAATCAATACATTCAAACAATCCTTAATATATAATATATCACAATTATAGAATTTATTCTAGCACATACAAGATATCAAAGAAACAATTAAAGTGCTAGAAATAAAGAGTATAGAGTTTAGAGAATTGCAAACACAATATATCCTAGTTCGGTCACCACCACTTGTGACCTACGTCCAGACTGAAGCCGCTCGATCAGCTCTTTCACTAATGGTCAAGCTTCACGGGTGCTTGACAAACCTTTACAATCTTCCAAGACTTCTGGTTCTTGGATACCTTACAATCTCCAAGTTTACGGGTACTCGGCAATCTTACAATTCACTCTAAATTTACTTAGGTATTTGGCTACCTCTCAAACAATGGGTCTTACAACCCTTTCAACTCAAGAATATAAGGATAGAAATATTTGGAAATGAATATACACTCTCAAAGTGTGGATATACAACTTTAAGCACTATGGGTATACGAATTTTCAAGATATGAGCTCAAATATGTTTGATCTTTGAAAGATATGAAAGAATATGCAAATGATAGTGTAAAAGCTCTCAAAATATGCTTAATATGTGTAGGAATGATGTCCAATGCGTTTTAGAGTCATTGAGAATGTATATATAGTGTTTCCATTGAAAACTAGCTGTTTATAGCCGTTATATGTATTCTGTCACAGTGGTAATCAATTACCAAATGATGGGTAATCGATTACCAACCTGACAACAAGAACATTGTTTCGTATTTTGGGCATAATTTGAGTTATACTTGTCAGATTGATGTGATCTTGGTGTCATTGGAAAGATAAAAGAAAGATTTACAACTTATATGAAGAACACAAGATCCAAATCCATAATCTTGGATACGAAAAAATGTATGGAAGGTAGCAGCAAAATTATGCAACAAATTTTAAGTTCAAATGTGTTCTAACTTGCTTCTAACCACTTTTTGTGAAAGATCTTGACTTGATAAATATGTTTTGAAGTTATAAAATATGTCAAGAATCTTTTCCATGAGTTTTTAAAATTTCTTTCAAGTATATAAAGGTTATGATTATGCAATTCGAAAAACACGTTTACTTTGAGAAAAACTTTGAGCTCATGCAATGCAATCTATCATATACCGTTACATATATTCTAAGTCCTAAAGATATATTCCAAATATGATTTTAGACTTAGCTTTATGTCTTGTGTCTTGGATCTTTACTTGAACTTGATGCTTTGACTTGTTGGATATGACAATGCTTGACACTTTGTTGGTTTTGATCATTGGTGTTGCTCTTCTAATTATTCTTTGTTGCTCTTGATTCAATGATCTTGCCACTTTGATATGACATCACTCTTCTTGTGTGGCTACATCATACATCTTCAATATTCATATATGGTTGATGCTTTTTGCTCTTGATCAAAGCTCTTCTCTTTTTTTTGTTGCCATTTTGTTATCATCAAAACATACCTTGTATCTACAATAAGTTGGTTAATTTGTGGACATTTTCAGCTCTGAGTTGTATTATGGACTTATCATTGTTCTCCATGCCTGATTTGTTTGTGTAAATTTTGAATTGTAACATACTTGTCATTTTAAAATTGACTTCCAAATATTATTATATTTTATTAGTCTAATTTAATTTGATTGGTTTTCACTTGTTTGGTGGTTGCTACTTTTATCTCTACACACACATATATGTGTATATAAACTTTTAATTTATTTTAAATTATATTAAAATTTAAATTTATAATTAAAAATTAATACGATTCAATTTGAATGATTGTTATTTATTTTCAACAATGTAGTTAAATTGTCAATATTTTGACTTATGTTAAGATATTGTACAAAGTAATTATAACTTATAATTACAAAGTGCAATTTATTATTTTTGAAAGCATGATAGGTTTGATAGGCCAAGCCGAGCCTTGTATTTTTTAAAAATAAAATTAGATTAAGCTTATAATTTTATATGTATCAGGCTAACAAGTCAAAATAGACTTAAAATAATTTAACAGACTTAGCTCATTTAGGCAAAAACTTGGTTTAGCCTGGCTCATTTACACCCTGTTGAGATATATAAAAACAATTAATGTAACCTCACCCAATAGCTTAAGTTTTTGTATTGAATTGATTCTTTGCATGGTATCAAAGCCTCGATGTACCGGGTTCGATCCTCACCCCCCCCCCCCCACTTTCTTTCTAGTGGAATTTCTTTCTTCGCACAGATAGGTGGGCTTGTGCATTGTCCACCCTTCAAGCCAGTAGGCTCTCGTTTGAGGGGGCGGGTTGAGATATATAAAAACCATTAATGTAACATCTCCTAATAGCTTAAGCTTTTGGGTTGAATTGGTTCTTTACACACCCTATGATAGGAAAAACACTTATTCCAATATTTAAAATTAAAAATAGAGTAAAGCCTTTTTTGAGTCCCTAACAAAAAACACGGTCTCCATTTTCGTTCCTTACAAAATTTTTTTTACCCATATTAGTCCATTTTTAGGGACTAAATTGGTCTTCATTGAATTTCTAAGGGACCACATTTTCAAAAAACTGGAATTTTAGAGGGATCAAAAGTTGACTTTTTTTTGTAAGGGATGAAAGTGGGGACCGTATTTTTTGTTAGGCACCTAAAAGGGGCTTTACTCTTAAAAATATTAGACCAACCACAGTTCTTTCAATGAGAGTAACACATCGTGTTTCATAATTATCACACTATAACTATACTAAAAGGTGTTATACTCATTAATTAGTTATTAATCTCAACTAAATTATAATCGTTAGATTGATCGAAATTAATGGCAAGTATGACTTCTTAATCTTACACTCGAGTCAAAAGGTCCTCCTTATATATAAAGGATGCACGGTCAAGATTGAGAATGTAACTTACATCGGTATAATATGATCATCCACATTTAAATCATGCTTTATTCATTTTTAAGCCAATTTTATCATCTACAACTGTCGCATCTTCGCCACCACCATTATCGTCCTCATCGCCATCTTTACCCAATTAAACTAAAGGAAGGATCCGTTTATAATTTTTTTTACAAATTACATTAAGTATGACCGGTCATACACTCTTGATTGAAATATGACCGGTCATACTTAGTGTAGTTTGTAAACAAAAAAATTGTAAATATAACTTTTCCCATTAAACAATTACAAAGCCCCAAAAACAAACTTAAAAAAAAAGAAGAATAAATACCCCTTTGGGTCCTCAACAAAAAATATGGTGCCCATTTTAATCCCTTATAAAAATAAATTAGTCCCGAGATCCCTAAGAAAGACAAAGTAGACCAACGTTAGTCCTTCCTTCAATAAACCTCCCACGGTATTAGTAACGTTGCTGACGCGTAACGTTAATTGAGTGAGTCATATTCCACATAGGATATAAAACGACGTCATGAGTAATCATCTGACTTTTTTCTTCTTCTTCTTTTATGCAATGCAAGTTCTTCCACTTGCAGCATTATCACACCAAAAGCTCAAAACTTGAACCCAGCATTGCATTGTATTCTCTAATGGATAATGGAATCTGAAAGGCCTGTCTCTGTGTAACACCCCAATTTGCGACCGGTTAATCAAGATGCATATGGTATAGAAACATCGCATAATTAAATGCTTAAGCGAAAGGCTTAACTTATAAAAGTATCATTGTTATCAATGTAACTAAGTGATTAACTTTTTCTTTTAATTATCTTTACATATTGTCATGCGTATTTCATTTTCCGAATTATTGTTATTAAAATTGTTATTATTATCTATACAGTTACATACATACACAGAACTCCTAATTATTTTTCGGTAACTGTCTTTGACAATCAAAATACTATCCGGATATGATATCTGGTACCATTCCGAACAGTGTCTTACGGACAGCATAACAACTATAAATTGGAGTTAACCAGGGATTAATTCTCACAACAATCTTGTACCTGAAATACAGGAAACTCAAGACCATTTATAAATATCTTAAATTGTCCACTTAGTGGGCTAAAAATGACACCGTGCCAACAATGTTATACAGATACTGCATACATCATAACCTAAGGCTACACATGCCTCTCAAAATAATAACAACTATACAAATAACAACTATACAAATGCATGATTACAATTTATGCCTCAAAATACACAAATACAATAATCCAGAACTACTATGTCTCTACTCCAGCTGATTATCTAGCCCTGCACAGGCCTCTTGCCCTAAGAAGGCTCTCCTGCTGCTGCTGGAACACCTGAAACATTTCCCCATAGCATGGGGTGAGAAATAAATCTCATAAACTCAGGGTTTATGGGGTAGTCTCTACCCGTGAGTTCACTTCCTACACGTAAGGTCAGATACATATAGCATAACATACATCATATAAGCTTATTAATTTATCATGTTATCTCAGATATCCAATCACATGTCATCACCTATATGAATGCAACTACACTACGTATCTAACAGAATCCAATAGACAAACACACAAACATTGCAACAATGATCCTTTTGGACCTGGTGGAACAACACGGAGAAAAATCCTCTAAACCAAGAGATTATGTCTTAAAGTTCCTATGGCACTCTTACTTGTAACATAAGTAACTAGGTCAAATCTTCAGAACTCTGATCCGAAATCACTGCAGCTCCTGATTCCAACCTGATACCCAAACTTACATCAGATTTCACTTGCACAAATCTAAAAATACCACAAGATTCATATCTTGTCAATTCCACATTCATTCTTGACAATTCATGCTCAGACCACAAGTCAGATTTAAGCACTCATTCTTTGACATTTAGACACATATTGTTAAACCTATGTTCAAACACATTCAATTAGAGACTTAACCATTCAAACTCACTTGAACACACTTCATTTAGGTTTCTAGGATTTAGTTATCAATTAACTTCAATTCCAACCACATTAAAACCAACATGGCTGAAACCCTAGCATACCAATTCACACACATTTTCATGCTTTTACACCCCATTCAATGTTCCATTTAGCATTTCATCATGCATCACAACATACATTTTAACTTAGACTCCAAAATCATTGGTTAAATATCCTTTTAAGAGTCAATTTACTTTCATAACTTCAAACACTTACTCAAACCATTCCAATACATTCATTGTACACAAATTGCACTTAACGTCGTTCTATATAATTTAAACATCATTGATACCGTAATAAACCTACAGTGGCAGAATTGCCTAGGTTAGGTTTTATCAATTTTCACATATTCAAACTTTAACCCAATGACATCAATCACTTATTTATTCATTGAATTCATACTTCACATACTCATTTAATCAAACAAAGTTCAAACCCTAATTTATTTAAGCATGGCCGAATTACAAGCATGCACAAAAGCCTATGTAATTCATTATGTTTTCATATCTTGAATCATTAGCAAATCACCACAAAACCCTAATTTCATATTCATTATAACATGAACACATAGTCTTCACCATTTGAGCATACATGACCGAATTCATGTTTTTGAAATTAGGTTAACTAGTTGACATTTCTTAACATACAATTACTTGATTTAACTTGCAATCATCAATTAAACATCAAATAACACCAATCCATCATTAAACAACATAAACTAACATATGAACCCTAATTAATCTAGTGATGGCCGAACCACACACTTAGGGTTAGGTTATTTATCTTTCATTTTTCATGTATCCATTATGTTGTCTTCACTTTAAATGATAAATGAATTAACATACAACATGAAACCACTTCAAAACATATCATCAACATCCATAAAAATTCATGATAAACACAAGAACACATAGCTTCACAAATCATTTTCCAACCAACCAAATTAACATCAATTACCTTGTATAACTTCTTTTAGGTAAACAAAGGCTTTTCCAACCTAAAAATAAGTAAACACTCTTCCAAAACCTTCAAGGGCAGCACCTATACTCAAACTTTAGGAGATGATATCTCACTCAAAACAAAGCCTTAAGGTGTATGGTTTTAGGGTTTTTGCTCACAAGCTCACAAAGAATCTTTTACATGTTGAAAGTTTCTTGAAATAATAGCTAGAAAACAAGTTCTCTCAATCTCTTTCCCTCATCATAGCTCACAGACATGGAGAAGAAGAAAAGATGAAGGTGTCGTGGGTTTTGAGAGAAAGAAAGAAAAGACGACAACATTTACAAATTTTTAAAGATTTAATGTGTAAGTTTACATTATTTTAATACTTTTTCACTAAGATATTTTCATCTAACTTTCACCAAGCTTCCAAGACAAGACTCCCCCTTTTACATCAGCCAAAGTGGCGTGGGAAACACAAAGGAAGAAGGGAAAATCGACTTGGTTGAGAAAAGCTACACAAAGCCTTTTTTTTTTTACTTTTTCAAAGTTTTAAAGTAATTTAATTATCATTGGTTATGACTTTAACATTTCATTCAAACTTCCTTGGGCTGATTACTCTTGAAAATTCCGTGGAATATGATACATAAACAAGGAAGAATCAAGTTGCACTTACGATAAAAGCATAGCACACAAAAGTTGACTTTTTAAAAGTTTGTCACTTAATTTCTATTGGTTGTTACTTTATCTTTTCTAACTTGAAACTTTGACCAACCAATCATAAAACATAGTAATTACACATATGATAAAGCAAACAAAGCAATACAATCATCTTTGACCAATAATTAAGCTTAGGTGTAAAGTTTAAGCTTACTTTAACCTAGTTTTGACTTTGAATTTCTTTAATCATTGACCTAATTCTTTAAATTATTTTACACATCATTTAATTAAATTAGACACATATATATCATTTAAAATTCATCAAATAATTCAACTAGACTGTCAGAACTCAGTTCAGACCCAGTTTGTAAAATTACCAAAATACCCTCGTTATCACAAATTTGGCATTTATGTCTCTAAACACAACTTATGTTCTTTTTAGATCCTAATTGACTTGTTAAGCATGAATTGCATCCTCACATTCATTATCATGGTATTTTCATGATTCAACTGTTAGAATTCTCTTAATAATCACAAAATTCACACACTGTCTCACTTAACTCTCAATTTCACATAATTTGAGAATTAGGGTTGATATACTCTGCAATGCCAGCGTCAGCACCGAAGATATTTCTAGCAGTTTCGACAACTAAGTTTCTTTTATATCCCCTACTGCCCGGGTTTCTCAATGCATAGCAGTTTGTGTCATCACCACAAAACAATGCAAGGTCACCCAAAGTTTCTATTTGGGCTCATTATACTCATACATACACACACCTTGTTCTTTGGATGTACATGTTCCTGAAGAAAAAGGTCCCCATATCAACAACAAAAAATCTGCTATGAGCACGCCCCATCATCTACTTTTGGACCCCCAATTAAGTCTTCTCTCAACCATGGGAGGAGTACTTGCTATGGACAAATACAACTACAAAAGCCCCCTTTTTCTTCTTCATACTGTTGTGATCATTTTCTGTGCTCACAGAGAGAGTCTTTTGGAATGGTTTGTGACACATGCTGGGATGTCAAAAGTCCCTAAGCATTCTTTCAAACCATGCAACCCAAGGTTGCTTTGAATCTAAATACTCTATCATCATTGATAATGTTGTTGAACTTATGATGGACCCTTTTGGGAATTATCTTGTGCAAAAATTGCTGGATGTATGAAGAGAAGATCAAAGACTGTATATTGTGCTAATGTTGATCAAAGAACCAGGGCAGCTAGTCAGAACCTCTTTAAACCTACACAGGAAAGAGCATCATCATGGCCAAAACAAGTTCGTTCATGGTGTGACAATTGTGCTTTCTTCCATTGTCTTTATGATTGTTTTCTTAATTGTATGCTCAAAATGTTGTCGCTAAAGAAAATTTTGATTTTCAGTTTTTATATTTTAGATTAGGAAAATTGATGATTTGAGACTTTGAGTTGAAGGCTTGTTCAGAAGAACCACAAATTGACTTTGTTTTTCTAAGAGATTAAATTGATCTCCATAATATTTATTGAAGACCTAAAAGGTACTTTGCTCCTTATACATTTTTCGATATTTCCAACTGCTCCATGCTCTTTGATAGGGAACTTAGTAAATATTAAAACATTTTATTAAAAAAAAAAACTATAGACGAATATTTTACATTTAATTTCTTTTAACCCATATGACAAAAAATAGAGCCAAAATTCTTAAGTCTATGTTCTGGGTCTTTGCAATTGTTCCCATAATTGTAGGCCAAAAGGTGATGATTAAGTGAAAACTCCAACATGATGACTCCAATGGGACAGGAACGAAGGAGGCTGGCTCTATTAGAATGCATAACTTACGACTTCTGTATCTTGATTTTAAGGAAAAGAAATGAAAGATGCTGAAAAAAAAACAAAGCAGAAAGAATTTTTGCCTTTTTTTCTTCTTTGAAATTAACCAACTAATTTATAGAAAAGCCATTAGACATAAACTTCGCGAAAACACTGAAAGAAGTATATAGCAATCTACCAAATGACTATCCATCTCAACTTCAAGTTGAGAACACAGCTTTATATTTGCAATCACAAAGGTTATTTCCATTTTCCACTTGAATTAAGAAACAAAGATGAAAAAAGAAAAGGGGAAAAAAAAACTATATAAAGTTTTGCAAAATAAGCCATCAACAACTTCCTATAAAATCAAACTGCTCTGTATGTAGGAAAATGATGCTGCTCCCATCAATTTTTTTTATTTGAAAGATGATGAAATCAAACTCATTCTCCTCTGTGGGCATTTTAGATGAGAAGTGGGTCAGGTGACAGGTGACAACCATTAATAATCACCTCCATGCTCTACACAGATGAATCACATAGCTTCAACTGGAAAATAATCAGCTTCCCCAGTCAATAACACATCTGCACCTCATTGAAGACCAGGAAAAACAAATTTTTATCATGGCAGAATGCATAAACTAAAGGTAATGCCACACTTGAGAAGTAACAACAGTCGCAAAATACTAATTTTCCCCTTCAATGTTGTGGTCGATGAGAAACATTGGAAATAACCTAATCGCATTATATCCTACTTTAAATTGGAATTTGACCTCACAATAACCTGCTGAGGGACTTGATAAGTAATTTCAAATTCCTTCTAGTAGCTTCATCACCAGTGAAACCCAAAATATCAGAGCTAACATTCTGCAATAATGCAACAAAAAAGAAATTTATAAAATACCAAAAGTTATTTGTATGAAGTATATTTATAGGCCAGTTTAAAAATAAGGGTCCTACCTCAATGTTCTTCAGGGTAAAAATTAGAGTGTATATGGACCTTTGGATCAGTTCAGTGTTCTCAGGGGTCATAATGGATGAATGTACCCTTCTGCATAAGCATTGAATGATTTCTGTTAGTTGTAATACAACAAGAAAGTTAGACTAACCATTATATTTAAAGAATGTATAGAATGTAAAATTAAAGAGTAAATGGACCTTTTTAATCAGTTCAATTCTCTTATGCATGAACATGAATGATCTCATACTTCAAGAAGTTTAGATCCCCTTTTTTACTTTTAAAATTCTTATGGAACTTCATGATTAAGAAATGGTACTAGAAGAATGACTATATATTTGGAGAACTACCAAACAATATATCCATTTCAAATTCTGATGCAAAAGTCTGAAATAAACCCTGACTTATCCAATTTAATTTTGAAATTAAATGTAAACATGTTATTTCACCATTTATTATTTCCTTGAAGAAAAAGAAGAGAAACAAACGCATCATATTCTCCATACACTATGCTCATCCCTCTCCTTATAACTTCTCTTTTTTTCGAAATATTGTTTCATTTTTTCTCCTTTTGTTTCTTTTACAAACTCACTAATTTGTAAGATAACTTTACATATAATTTCAATTTTTAAAGGATAAAGGTTAAAAATAAGATTTGTTACAAGTTACAACCACATATTGTTGCCACCTTAACCGTCAAGTCTCCTCACTCAGGATCTATCCCAAGATTAAGATGTACAAGCTTAATGGCATCCCCTACAATAACATCATGCTAAGTGGCTATGTATATGCATGCATACCAAATTAGAGATACAAGAGCCAGAGGGGGTTACAAATTAACCTCAAATCCTCAGATGCTTGTGTAAGGCTTTGAGTTAAATTCTCAACTTCCTTCAACAGGCCACTGTCACGGACTTCTGCTAACAATGGTTGAACATCTTCAGCCATGGCTTTGATCTGAGACATCACTACATCAGAGGGAAAATATGGGTATGAAAATGCATGATAGAATAATAAATACCTACCACAAAGACAAGTACATGAATACCATAAATGTTTAGGTGCATATTAAGACAGCAGAGTTTATAGATAATTATATTACCAGTCTGCTCATCAGTTACTAATGGCACCAGATATGAATAACAGAAAGAGTTACAGAAATCACTCACTTCCACAGATTACTAAATCAGTAAACAGCAAATAGATGACTCAGATAACACTTTTATTAATGGAAATTCAAGCTATCTCACCATCGTGAAAATAACTTGTTACAGTACAAACGTTCAAGACAGTAATTGAAATGGACGGAAATTAAGAGACACCTTCTCCCTCAATCAGCTATCCGATTGATAGAAGAACCACTACGACCCCTAATACAGCAACTGGTACTCTCTTCCCAGTGTCCCCAACCCTTTTCCAAATTTCTCCTCCCCTCCTCATTCCTCCCTAACTAACTTATATTCTGAATCCTCTCCTTCACTCTCTTCACCACCAATATTCCCTTCCCCATTCACAGCTTGCCACGTGTCCAAGCTTGTAACTAACTCTGTGTTGCCTTCAGTGTTGCCTTCACCCTTTCCTTTATGGGCCTTTCGTTTGTACACTCTATCATATGGCTGAAGAGGCCCATCAATACCCCCCCCCCCCCTTCAAGACTCACCATGTCCTCAAGGTGAAAAGAGGGCCACTGACTCTGAAAATCTGTCAAGTTTTCCCACGAATTTTCACATTCTGGCAATCCTTCCCATTGTACCAAGATCTCAATCTCTCCATTCATTAACCGACGAGATTGCAGAATGGTTGCGGGCTGGACTTGTAGCTCCAGAGACTCATTTAGGCAGTGAGGTAAATGCAATACCTGTACAGAAGGATGAATCGCCCCCTCTTCAATTGGGACACATGGAAGACAGAATGTATTTTTGAATATGAAGGCAGCTCTAGTCTATAAGCTACTGGTCCCACTTGCTCTGTGATTGCAAAAGGCCCGTAAAAACGCGGGCTTAGTTTTTGGTTGACCCTCCTTGCTAATGATTTTAATTTGTAAGGCTGAATCTTCAAAAAAACCTTATCCCCCACAGAAAATTCTTCCTCTCTTCGTTGCTTATCCGCTTGTATCTTCATTCTGAGTTGAGCTTGCTGCAGCTTCTGTTTTAATTCCTCCAAAATAATGTCGCGAGCAGCCAGCAAAGCATCTACTGCTGCCACATGACTGCTGCCCAACTCAAAAGAAATTATCACAGGTGGATCTCGTTCATATAAAGCACGAAAGGGAGTCATTTGAATAGACCGGTTGTAGGAGGTATTGAACCAGAATTCAGCCCAAGAAAGCCACTTCGCCCAACTCTTAGGGTGGCCATTAGCAAAGCAACGCAGATAAGTCTCTAGTGTACGATTAACCACCTCCGTTTGACCATCCGTTTGTGGGTGATAAGCGGAGCTAAACTTCAGTTTGGTGTCGGATAATTTGAATAACTCCCTCCAAAAATGACTAAGAAAAATACGATCTCGATCTGACACAATAGACTTGGGAATGCCATGCAAGCGGATGACTTCTCTCATGAAGACAGCAGCCACCTTTTGCGCATCATATGGATGTTTGAGGGTCATAAAATGTGCATATTTTGTGAGTCTATCCACTACCACCAAAATGGTATCAACACCTTGCGAATTTGGTAGTCCACTAATGAAATCCATTGAAACCTCCTCCCAAACTTGTTGGGGAATAGATAAGGGTTGTAAAAGACCAGCGGGCTTCAAGCTACTATACTTTTGTTGCTGACATACGTTACAAGCTCGAACCAACTCAGCCACATCTCTACGCATTCCCTTCCAAAAAAAAACTACTGCCACCCTTTTGAACGTCCTCAATTCACCCGAATGCCAACCCCATGGAGATGAGAGAAATTCCTGCAATATGTTAGGAATTTGAGAAGAAGTTCTTGGGAGTACCAGTCTATTTTTATACCATGGGCAGCCCCTGGACACATGATAACCCGGATGCGAGCTGGCATCCAATAATACCTCCATCATGATTTTCTTTGTGACCGGATACTACAGTATCTCTTTAGACAGCCCTTGCAGATCTGGACTAGTGACCATGGTGAGTTGTTTGCAATCCATGACCCGTGACAGTGCATCTGCAGCAGCGTTCTCCACTCCCGGCTTGTATTGTATCTCGAAATCATACCCCATTAATTTTGCAACCCATCTTTGCTGCCCTTCAACCATCAATCTTTGTTCTGTTAAATATTTTAGGCTCCGTTGGTATGTTCTAATCAGGAAATGGCGGCCCAATAAATAATGGCGCCATTTAGTAACCGCAAAAACAATGGCCTTGAGCTCCCTTTCATAGACCGACAGGGACCTATCTGTTTTGGAGAAAGCCTTGCCGAGGAACGCAAGAGGACGCCCCTCTTGCATCAAAACAGCCCCCATACCCATGCTCGAAGCATCTGTTTCTACCACGAATATATCATCAAAGTTTGGGAGTGCCAACGTAGGTAACTTCAGCATCTCTTGCTTTAACATTTCAAACGCACACTGAGCTTCATCACCCGATACGAATTTATCCTTCTTAAGCAGCTGGGTTAATGGTTGAGCAATGTGGCCATACTTCTTGACAAAACGTCTATAATATCCTGTCAACGCCAAAAAACCTCTCAAACTCTTCAAATTGTGGGGAATTGGCCACTGTTGCACTGCTACCAACTTCTGTGGGTCTGCCTTCACTCCCCCTTGAGAAACCAAATGCCCCAAATACTCCAATTCTGTTTTTGCAAAGGTGCATTTTTCTAAATTAGCACAGAAGCAGTTCTGTTTCAGTATTTCTAAAACCACCCTTAGATGCTCCAGATGTTGTTCCACACTCTCACTATACACTAGAATGTCATAAAAAAAAACTAGAACAAATTTCCTCAGATAGGGCTTAAAAACCACATTCATTAATGCTTGGAAGGTAGAAGGGACATTTCTCAACCAAAGGGCAGTACAAGATATTCATAATGCCCCTCGTGGGTACGAAAAGCAGTCTTTTCGATATCTTCGGTCCTCATTCGAAATTGATTATAACCCGATTTGAGGTCAAATTTGGAAAAAATTCCAGCCCCGTTTAATTCATCCAAGAGCTCATCAATTACTGGAAGGGGAAATTTGTCAGGGATGGTTACCTTATTCAAAGCCCTATAGTCGACGCAGAATCGCCAACTCCCATCTTTCTTTTTGACCAGGATCAGTGGGCTCGAGTATGGACTACAACTTGGCCTAATCATCCCTGCTGCCAACATTTCCTTAATGAACTTCTCGATATCCTCCTTTTGATAATAAGGATAACGATACGGCCGTATGTTGGGAATCTCTGCCTCAGGCTTTAGTATTATCTTGTGATCACACTCTCTTGTTGGAGGCAGAATCGAAGGCAACTGGAACACCTCTTCGTATTGATGGATCAGCTCTAAAATCTCAGGAATATCACATAATGGATCCTTTAACTCCATCGAGCAGTACCCCATTCCACATAATATCTTTCAGCACTCTTTCGCCATGAACGAGTCATTCCTTTGTAGGACATCTTACCGCAGGATAACCTTGGATCCCCCTTCAATGTCACTATGGCCCCTTGCCATGGAATGCAAAGTGTTCGCTCCCTGAAATTGGCTTGAATATCTCCCAATCCCTCCAACCACGTGAATCCTAACACCAGATCAACATCCTTGAGCTGGAAGATATATAAATCTTGGGTTATAGATAGAGTGGATAAATCAATCGTGACTCCCTTGCACATCCCCTTTCCCTGTACCTGGTACCCATCTCCTATCTCCACCTTAAAGGAACCAGAGTTCGCCACATGCAGCCCCACACTGTCAACAACGTTCTCACTAATAAAGTTGTGAGATGCTCCCGTATCTATCAAGACCAAGACCTTGTGTCCCTTAATCTGACCCCAAAGCTTCAAGGAATGATTGAAGGTGAGACCCACCACGCTTTGAATGTTGAGTTGGAGGACCTCGTTAGCTTCTCCTTCTTCCTCCCTTGCCTCGGTCTCGTCCTCTGTTGCCTCCTTCGTGCTTTCATCCAAAACCAAGACGAACAATTGCAGGTTAGGGCACACATGACCCGGTCCGAACGGTCCATCATAGCGGAAGCAAAGGTTGCGACGCCGGTGTTCTGCGATCTCTTCAGGCGACAAGCGGCGGAATTGGTTGTCACGACGACCCTATGTTCCTGTGGACAGCGTCACCGTACGCTGCGTCGTCCCATCTTGTTCGTTGACTCCTCTCCCATTTCGATTAGGGTTCCCATTGAGGTTACTAGCAGCAAAGGATTGGGTTTGCTGGTTAGTGAGATTTTGAGTCGTTTGGGCCGAAACATTAGGCCCATTTTCCCCCCATCGTGCTCCTCTGTTAGTAAGGGCCGCCTTTCTCCCAAGCCCATTACCATTAGTTGATCCAAATACATTACGGCCCAAGTTCGCATCAGATCTGCCCATAACTCGATCCCTCTCTTCCACGCGTTGGGCAAGCATCATCATGCTACCCAAGTCCTCCGGCGAATGCAAGCGGAGCTCCGCCCTTATCTCCGGCTTCAACCAGGTCACAAACGCGGCCTGCATCATCTCTTCATCTGCGTGTCTCAATGGCGCAGATAATACTTCAAATTGTTTACGGAATTCCTTCACCGTCCCTGTCTGTTTCAGTTCCATCAATGCTTCATATGGATTTTCAGACGGCGAAGCATGAAAACGTTGTAAAATAGCCGTACGAAATAACATCCAATCGACCAACGGGTTTCGTGGTTCCCACCACTGAAACCAGCTGAGAGCCTCCCCTTCCAAGCAAATCGCCGCTGTTTCCACTTACTCATCTGGTGGGATTCTATTCACTCGAAAGTATCTTTCTGCCCGGAAGATCCACCCGTAAGGGTCTTCGCCAGTGAAATAGGGTACTTCCACTCGACGCATCCTCTCCTCGCTCCTTCCGTTTCGTGTGTTTGTTTCGTTCGTGCTACCATGGCATTCAGTTCCTCCTTCGTTCGATCCACCCTGTTGTCCCGCTCTTACCAAATCTTGGAGCGTCCTCATCATCTCAGCAATATTCAGCTCAATCCGATGAATTCCTTCTTTCGTTCCCCCTACTCTAGTCTCTAACGCCTCCATTCTAGGATCCATGTTTCTTGTGAGCACCATTCAAGTTTCCCAGAAAAGTGCTTTGATACCAATTAATGGCACCAGATATGAATAACAGAAAGAGTTACAGAAATCACTCACTTCCACAGATTACTAAATCAGTAAACAGCAAATAGATGACTTAGATAACACCTTTATTAATGGAAATTCAAGCTATCTCACCATCATGAAAATAACTTGTTACAGTACAAACCATAGTTGTCAATAACAGTTAGCGGCCGGTAGCGGTCGATCCCGAAAATGGTATAGCGGTGTAGCGGGTAGCGGTATTACCGCTACGGTGAAGTATTAATTCCACATAAATTATACTAACAGTCAAGAAACGAGGCAATACCGCTTTTAGTATTAATGCTCAAACATAAGAAGTCACACAAAATCAAACACATAATTCCACAATCAATGTCAAATACAAGGAACATAAAGGAAGGATCCAAAATTAAACACAATTGAACAATAAAATTGTCAAATAGTCAAGTACAAGAAGTGAACTAATAAAGAAAATCATCATCATCTCCGGATTCTCCATCAAATTCCAACGTGGGAGTGGTGTAGCGGGGTAGCGGGTAGAGGTATTGCTGCTACGCTACGCCGCTACCTTCCGCTACGGCCAATGTCGCGTAGCGTCGCGGTTTGTAGCGGCCGACCGCCGCTACCCGCTACGGTAGCGGTTTAGCGGCGCTACGGGCCGCTACTGACAACCTAGGTACAAACGTTCAAGACAGTAATTGAAATGGACGGAAATTAAGAGACACCTTCTCCCTCAATCAGCTATCCGATTGATAGAAGAACCACTACGACCCCTAATACAGCAACTGGTACTCTCTTCCCAGTGCCCCCAACCCTTTTCCAAATTTCTCCTCCCCTCCTCATTCCTCCCTAACTAACTTATATTCTGAATCCTCTCCTTCACTCTCTTCACCACCAATATTCCCTTCCCCATTCACAGCTTGCCACGTGTCCAAGCTTGTAACTAAATTTGTGTTGCCTTCAGTGTTGCCTTCACCCTTTCCTTTATGGGCCTTTCGTTTGTACACTCTATCATATGGCTGAAGAAGCCCATCAGTTACCAACTTTTCCATAATCGTAAAGTAACAAACATTACTATTTGACTGCTAGTGAACCATCAAAATGAGCGTAAACCCATGTAAGTTACCCAGAATTTGGAGGTCAGATGGTTTTATATGGAAGATGTTGTTTGTTGTTCCATACAATAATTTGATGCTGCCAGTATGCTCTAGGAGAATGGCTAGAAAAATAAGACAAGTATGCTTTATGAGATCCATAAAAGCATAAAAGTACAAGAACATGGATTTTAAGTTTCCAGAATGTAAGGACATATCTACGAACATCAAGTTCAATCAGTTAAATTCCTTGATTAACTGCTCAAATTTCTGAAATTGGGCATGTATGTTGAACAATGAACACTTGCATAATAGGTTACAATCAATACAATAAAAACAGATAATAAAACTGAATTCCCAATCAACTCTTTCAAAGAGAGAATTCTAAGGCATGAACTAACAATTTTGTTCTAGTTTAATATATTATAACAAACTCAATATTGGGCAACCATCCATTTATATTGGAAAGAAAATTGCCTGATTCAACAGTCTAGTCAAGAGGATATATTAACATCAAAGAAGCAAACTAGCGTAAGAAAATTACAGCACACCTTTGTAATAAGTGGTTTGGCTTCTTCAATAACAGAAGAAGCTCGTTCAGCCAAAGAATAGGTGTTGGCAATACCAATTTTCTCTACATCTTGCCCAAGGCGGGTAAATATCCCAACCAATGCATCCAAACTTACTCCTTGGTAACCCTTAATCTTTTCTCTATCACAAACAATGAGACCTTCTTTAGGACATTCTTGGTCAAGAGGTCCAGCAAAAGGTGATGGAATTGGATCTCGAGGAGTAATGTCAATTATAGTTTCCATAAGAAGACCTGACTGGTTAACTTCAATCAATGAATTCCGTGGTATGATTGTTTTATCATCTTCAATCTACAAATAAAAGAAAATCAAAGGTTTAAATTAATATAACGTGCAAATTAAAAAAAAAAAATTCAAAGCCAAGCAATATTTTAATACTGGGATGTTAGGGTACAGGAAGGGAAACAAGGTTTCATTGTCCATCACAAGATTATGTTAATGAAAGGCACCTCAACAACTGCTTCAATACTTTTTAAGGAAGGAATAACGCGAATGACATCTCCAACAGTCACCCCTCTGATCCTCACAGGTGTTCCGGTGCATATGCCGCAAGCCTGAGCAAACTCAAACGTTGTTGTGTACTTCCTGAACTTGGATCTTATTTGGAAACCCCTCAACCAGGCCAAACTAAGAGCAAACAGAACTGCACCTGATACTAAAAACAGTCCAACCCCACCTTCCCAGATGCTCCTACCACCAAACCCAAAATCACTTAATGGACGTAGCGCTTGCCTCCAAACACTACGAGGAATGTCCAAAACAACCGCAAGTGGATTCTTTGATGCTGAAGCAGATGCCGGTTCTACGTGCCCTGCATCTGCAGATGTAGCTCTTATTCTATTGATTTTTCTCCGGGGTCTAAATGGAAGGCAGGAAATGCAATTTAAAGAATTTCCATGTAGGGTAATCAAAGATGAAGATAAAGCACTTGGCAATGTGGAGACATGCACTGGAGGGTTCCCTACCATCTTTGACAAAACGTCCTAACTCCCAATTACTACTATCCCCCAAACTTGAGCTGGATATGAATCTACACGAAAGAGACTTGAGCTGCTAAAATCTCCCTACGAATAAAAACACCATATAAATTTTATCAACAATTAATGCATAATTGATGGACAAAAAGAGATGAAAGATACCAATAAACAACAATAACACAACAGCATAATTTCAAAAGTTCTAATCATACAAGGAAAACTCAAATTGATTACAAATAGACCCAATATTGAACGAGGTATGCAAAAAAGATTCCAATACAACACAGCTCCAGAAAATATATTTTAGATGTAGGATTAGAAAAAAAAAAAGACTTACAATTTACCTTCCCAAGATGCCAATAAAGTAGCAGAAATGGAAAAAGGCACCAACATTGAGAAGGGGAAAAAAATTGGGGGTGTTTACAAGCACCGTAATCCCATGCAAAACAAAATTCTGGGTAATATTAAAAACCTCTTAACTATGAGATTTGCCACCTAAAGGTTCCATCTTGTATCTAGTAACAACCATCTAACTACTCTTGAATAAAAATTTCTCACGAAAACTGAAAACCTATGCAAAATTTCATGCTGTGGAATGAGTATTGTTGGGTAGGTAGTGAAGCCACAACTGTCGTTGTTGACACAGTAAGATTGACGGTCAAAAAGTGATCATCAAACAAATATAAGAAATGAAACAACAAAACTAGAGTGTACTGATTCATGCTTTCATTGCCATGCAGTCAAAGGAGAGAGAGAGAGACTGTGAATTACAGGCTACCCTACAGATCCGCATGTAGCACCACACCACGAGCCATGGACGGTGCGTGAGAATACGAGAAGAGGAGAAAGCAAAAGAAGATGAAGGATTTTCCAATTTGGAAGCTGAAACCCAAACACAGCCCAACGCTAACCCAATAATAGGCCCAGCCTTGTGTTCTTAGCTGAATTGTTTTTATCATCGTCTTATATTGTTTTTGTTTTATAAACTATATTTTAACTTTTTTTTCAACTATTCCTAATATGAAGTGCTTACAAATATTTTCTTTTGTGCTTTCCTTTTCAATTTCATCGCCCAAACCATAAATAATTGGTATTATTAACGGGGTAAAGATATTTTTACTACCAAATAATATTACCCATCATATCTTAATCGCTGATTTCCATCAATCAATGGTTATTATTTATTGTGAATTAATAATTAATTAATGAGTTTGATTTGTGGAAATGATGACCGTTGATTGACGAAAATCAAAATTAAGATATGGCAGTAATATTATTTGGTAGTAATAATATCATATCCCTTATTAATGTTATTAAAATTATTAGTTAAGATAATTGTACATATTTTATTTTTGGGTTCATTTTTTCTAAAGTTACTTTAGATAACTTTGTCTAATGTTCACTTAAGCGACATCGTTTTGGGCGAAAATCATGGTGTATTTATAGTTTTAATTTATTTAAGGTTATAATAGTCCTTATCATTCTAATTTTTTAATTTTTAAATTCCAAAATAATCTAAAGTAACATTAAATATTTTTTTCTCTTTATTTTATTCATTTTGTTATCAATTATGGTCCTTGACACCTAATATAAAGTTATACATAATATAATTTTATTTTTAATTTTAATTTATATATTAATGTAGTGGCCTACTCTAGTTATAACAACTCTCAATTGCTTTGAATATGTTATGACTAGAAGTGGCAAAGTGGGCGGCCCGCTCTGCCCCGCCCCACCCCGTCAAAAAATGAGTCAGCCAGTTCTGCTCAGCTTTTGAAAGTGGACTGAAAAATTGAGCCCGCCCCGTCCCGTTTGGCTGGTTGGGCGGGTTGGCCCCTGTTTGGCTGGTTGGGCGGATTGGCCCGCCAGCCCGAGCCTATTTTACACTGGCCCGCCTATGTCCGCTATCAACCCGCCAAAAAATGAGCTCGTCCTGCCCCGCCCCGCCCCGCTTTTGAGATGAGTTGAAAAACTCAATCCGTCCCGTCCGTTTAGCCGATGGAGCGGGTTGGCCCGCTGAGCCGAGCTCGTTTTGCCGCTTATGACAAATTATAGGTAGCTCCGATTATGAAAAAAAAAAAAAAACAATTGCAGGTATCTCCACTTTTACGACCTATGTTAGGGAGTGGTTAAGGGTATTAAATAGTGTCCACGTTAGTTGTAACAGCTGTATTAGGCAGTTAGGCTTAATGTATAAAAAGGATACTCTGACTATAGTAGGTAGCTCTTGGTTAATTTAAAGTTTAACTGACAATTTCTCAGAGGAAGGGGAGTGCCCCTTGTGAAGAGGTTTTCCTCTTGTTTGTTCTTATATAGTTCTTCAATAAAATAGATATCTTCTTTTCGTTCTTTCATCTTTTCTTTAATTTTCTTTTTTCTGTTGTAACTTTTCCTTTGCCAAGAAATCTGGAGCTGTAACAATTGGTCCAACCTGCCGAATCTTTGAAGGGATGAACGCTATGCGAGTTCATCTTGGAGCTCTGAAGAATTCTAAAAATCTTATCAAGAACAGGAGAAATGGGAGACACCAATATACGAAGTCAAGAAGCACAATTTGGACGAAACTCTTGTAGTTTCAAAGCCAGAAATGGGTATGCAGAAAATGGAGATAGAAGAAGGTGGGTTTCACGATTTGTCTAAGGAACCCAAAAAAATTGTTGAGGCCTCTTCGATCATGGGTGACTGTTTTTCAGAATCAGATGGTGAATTGGAGATGAAAAACAAAATAAAGGTGATAGAAAAATTGCAGAAAGAAATACAGTGAAAGTCAGAACATAAAGAGACATCATCTTCTGGAATTAAGAAAAAGCAAGAATACGTTGCAGAGATGGAACAATCGCATGAGCCAAAGGGAGAGGTACTTGCGGTCAAGCATAGAAGTGAAAAGACCCAAATGGGTTCATTCATGGGGAAAGATGTATCCACGGTGTTTTTGAGACCAGCAAACCAAGACGTCGTGGAAGAGAAGCTTGACATGGCAATTATGGAAACGTGAGTGAAGGGAATTTCCCTATATCCACCAAAGTCGCTGGAATTAACCTGAAATGCAGCTGACAGTCAGTCATCCCATATTGACTAGCCATGGGTATGCGTGAAGAATAAATCATGTTACGGAAAAAGGAGGGACAACGTTGTACAAAAGATGGGTCTCAACCCTGGACTAATGGGTCACGCCCAACAAGAGAATTGGAATGAGCTCCAGTGACTCAAAGGGGGTGGTTCATGATAAGTCTCTTAAATGAGACTCAGAGCATATGATTTAATTGGAAATTAAAGAGAAAATATTTATTTTGCTGTTAAAATACCCTAACTTGGTGTGAATTGTCTTTTGTTGGTTAAAAATGCTACTGGGCTGAATATGTTACACTATTAGGCCCAATTGCTGCTGAAGGAAAAGAAATGAAAAGGGGCCGGACTAAAAGACTAAGCCCAAAGGGAAGAGAAGAAAGACACAAAGGAAAAGAAAGAGAGAGAAGACAGACTCAGAAACGCAAGAAAGAAATCGAAGAAGAAAAAAACCCTAGCATCGTGCAACCAAACCCAAGTTCTAGCTGACAAAATCCATATCATCCATCCCCAACCCTTGCCACAAATCGACCCATACGATCAGATCGTCTTCTTCTCACCGTTCATCCGTCCAAATTAACCCACATCCACGGTCCATTAAGAAAAGACAACAAGAAAAGAAAAAAAAAACCTAGCCCTTACTTTTGGTTCAGAAAAAGCCAAACCAAAATTCGTTACTCAGTGGAGGCTGGAGCGATTGTAAGCGCAAGTTTACGTACGAGTTGCAGGAGCAACAATTCCATCCAGGTTGTCTGAGCAAAGGAGGGAGTTGCTGGGGACCACCCTCCTGCAACGCGCGAGAAGCGCGTGACACTTGCTGAGCTGGAGAGGAAAATCGTGCAAAGAAGGAAATGAGCCCTATAAAAAGGGAAAGAGGAGTGAGTCATAGTCGCGGTTCTTCCCTCTCTGGTTCTGATTTACTGTTTTTAGTTTTGTTGTTTTCTGAACAATTTTTATTTTATTTTCTTTTAAGTTCTGTTTTGTAATGAGATTCTGGTTCATCTGATGAACTTGATGCATGTCTTTACAGCACTGAGATTGCCGGTTGTTAGGCCAGTGCTGTAATTTAGTTTCTAGCATTTTTATTTTGTGATTTCTTTAGTTTTCTGTTACTGTTTGTAAGCCTCATCCCTATGGATAGTGGCTGACTTTTTAGAGGTTGGGTTTAGGTGATACCCAAACTTCAGTGCTTGTTAAATGTTTGGTTTTCTGGTTATAATTTTTATATCTCAGGTTTTTAATGCTTTTTCTAATGTTTAAAATTATCTGCATTTTGGCCAAATGTCAGAAGTTTGGTTAGGATTTAGTTGTTGAGAACCAACTAACTCTGGATTCTGCATTAGACACATGGACTTAGATGAGAAATCATTTAAGGGATCTCATTTCAGAAATGAATGAGACCTCATGTAATATTGGACCTGAGTCTCAAGAGTCCTAATCCCACTTGGCATAGAGATATGGAAGTGGGCAACTTTGGGATAAAATAATTTTTAAGAGATTAAAATTAACAATACAGTTCTGTTAACTAAGAATCTTAGGATGAGCTTTTTGTTAATCAAATTATTTTTCTAGCACTGTGGGGAAGGACAGCCAGAACTCAACCCACCTTTTTGAACATCTTTATCAACTCAGATTCCAAATTTCCTTTGTTATTTCATATTTCAATCTCTGTTCTGTTTCAAAAATCTTTTTGTCACATCTGTCATTTAAGTTGCTTCATTCTTACTGCTTATTTTATAACTTAGGAAAGTAATTCAGAAAATTCTAAAGAAAAGTGAACAGTAGTGTTTTAGGCCCATTCTAGATTATTTATACTTTACAATTTTTTTATTTCTTCTATTTTCAAATAGTAATTCAGTTTTAAGCAATTACAAATGTTAGTCACTTCAAAACGCCAACGATCCTTGTGGGAACGATAACTGGGACTTATAACAGCCCTATATTACTTGTTGTCGCGTATACTTGCGCGCATTACTTGCACAACTGTTAGCAAGGCAACAGTTCAGGTCAGGCTTGATAGGTCAAACCTGGTTGTTACAAGGTGAGAAGTTGACGGGCCCAAACAAAAATGCTTTCAGCTTGAAACAATTATTGGGTCGGGCCTCACGAACTAGGCATTTGCCCTCAACCCATCCAGCACCCATAGGGCATAGATGCCCAAAATCAAACAACCATGTGAAGGTACTAGACGCGACTGCAATGTCTGGATTGCGCCCACCAAAACCGCCGGACTTGGTTTCCTGTACATTGTTCAATGGGAGACATGGAGATGGGAGGCAAGCTCAATTACTATAGCATCAACCAACAGTATCGTGAAAGGAAAAGGAAGAGAAGAAGGGTAACATGGGGTTACAAGATTGAGGTTACCTTCTTGATGTAATGGACCAAGTCCAAAAGTTGTGGGCACATTAGGCACACATGATAAGAAAAGATGGTTAAACAATCAAATAAGAGAGGGAGTGAATTGTGTGTTACTTCTTTTTCAAGAAACAATTAAAAACACAACTCTTTAATTGTAACTTCAACCAAAAATGAAATTTAACAGTAATCAAGTTTTTTCTAAACCCAAAAACAAAATTAAAACATTTCATATAACATCCAATTCAGAGATTAAAATAGCGGAATCAAAATTAAATGGAAAAAGAGAAGAAATCAATGTTCATGGCAACACCATTCAAGAAATCATGCAAGAACAAAATTAAACTGAAAACTATCAATACCTATCCCTTAAATCGATTCAAATACAATGAATCAAAAATGAAATCAAATTATCAAAA